GCATACAATCTGGCAAAATTCAATGCCACATAGATAAACAACACATCTCATCAAAATATAGACAATCTACACATATAAGCAATTAAAAACACTTATCAATCAATTAAACAGTTTAAAATCATATAAAATGCTGAGTCATAATCTCATGTCCAAATTGTTTTCCAAAATCCATAGTCCGTTATTCAAGCTGTTATTATGCAAAGGCTATATTGGAGCAGACTTGCTTTCTGCTGCTCTTGAAACTTGGACACGGAATAGTTAATTCAAACTGTAGGAAAAGAGATTCCACATGAAACTGGAAGAAATTCCTGGTGGTAAGAGATCTTTAGCAGTGGAATATGCTGCCTCAGAATGTGGTGGAGTCTCATTTGAAGGTTTTAAAATACTGGATGGTCATCAGTTGGGAGTGTTTCGTTTGTGTATTCCTGCATTGCAGAATGGGGTTGGACTGAATGTTCATGTGGTCTCTTCCAACTCCATCATTTTACATAGCAGAGTAGAGTACATTGCTGATGCTCGGCAGATAGAGGTACATTATGCTGATAACTGTTTCAGCGATACTGAGCGCTGACCAGGCTGAGCTTTTCTAGTTGATGGCAAGTGCTGGATAAATTCTCCACTTCTTGGAGCAAGGAGAGGGATGGCATCCAGCAAAGCCATGTCCTCTGACTCTGCAATTTGCTAATCGATGCTGTTTCCAGCTGGTAAAGAGGAAGGTTACTGCTCTTCACTGTCAGTAGCTGCAGCTGCAGTGATCAGTCATCTCTGCTCTTTTGCCTCCTCCCATTACTCCAGTTGACATGGTGACCACAACAACCTGAACAGACTGCTTTTTTATACCCTAGAGAGCTTTCTGAGCCTCAGAAAATAATCCTATCTCTTCTGTAGAAGTAGTAATTGGCAGTGGCACAATAGCATGAATAGTGAAAGTAGTCTGTGGCTCGGTGTTGTGGTGAGGAGTTAGAAGACATATTGACTGCCCAAGGTACCTTGAAGGATTGTCCCCACATTCCCCATGTCCTCAAGGCTCCTAAGATATTGTGGGGAATGTTTCTACTTTAGGATTAACATATTTTAGACCCAGGAGAAGACTTTCTTTTTACACTAAAGACAACTTTCTGTTCACTTTTTGCTCTTTTACAAAAATAATTTCTGGATATAAAAAATAAAGTCCAGGAAATACGCTGCAAAATTCACCTCATGTTCTCCCAGGGGTGTTGGGATGCATTTGCAGTAGCTCCCATTTTTCCAAAACATCAGAGTACAGAGGGTCTGAAAAAAGAGTTTGGGGACTGGATACAGCTTACAGGCTGTATTTTTCCCTCACCGTTAGCTAATATTATAGCTATGTCATAGCAAAAACATCATTTTTGAAATGTTGCTGCTGGCCACTGAAAAGTATTGATATTGACAGTCATTTTGGTTGCAGAAAGAAAGCAGTGCTCAGATCAATCCAATATATACAGAACCCACACAAATATGAAAAAATGCAAATAATAATATTACTAATTTTTTTTTATCAGGGAAAATATTTCTCTTGGAATTTCTAGTTTCTCCAGCATAGTTCTATGGTCAACTTCTGTTGGATCACACCGGAGGACCTAGAGATTCCTAGATAAGTATTCTCTAGATCCTTCAGTGCATTCTATGGCAGAAGTTGTCCATGTAGTCACACTGAGAGATCTAGAGATTTCTAGAGAGAACATTTTCATCAAATTTGTGAATAATCAAGTCTGCAAATGTCAAATCTGCAAATGTGAGGTGCTCACTGTATTACTTGCCCATTAACCAATCCTATTTCCATCCTTCCTCATGGTACCAAACAAAAACATAATCACGTGCCTTTACAGGGCATAAGGAAACCTGAACTGTTATAGAAGTCACAATTTTCCAAATGCATCTTCCAGCACAACTAAAAAGCTGAGCCAAGGCACATGGAGAGAGGGCTTAAATTGCTCTTTCAGAGAACTCAGTAAGAGGTGGAGTAAACCTCAGTCAGGTTCTATAAATACTGTCAAGGAAACTGTATCACTGAAGGAAAGGGATTTGTCACCGTCTCTGTAGTTATAGCCCCAAGCAAGGAAGATGGGAAAATTTAGCAGGCATAGCTATTCTTTGAAGGAGTGGAGTAGACAGAGGGGAAAGCTCAGAGAGACCCCATCATTGCAGCAATGCTTTCCACTCCTGCCTATGCATAAAAATGAAGCTCCTCAGTGGAATCCCAGAGCCAGGACAGCACATCGGTCAAGGTTGCGATGTGCTTGAACATTGGCAAGCATGCAGATTCTGTCAGGATTTTATCTCTTTGAATGTGAGCCTGTAGGGCATTTTTAAGAAATGAGAATCCAGAGGCGTGAGTGCTTATGAACAAAAAACAGGCCCCTGGACCAACACAGCTAGAAAGCCTTTCTACCCCAAAGCTGAAGCTGTTGTGGTTTGTGGGACACTTCTGGGGAGATATCACTGCTGGACCTGTCTGGGCATACTGAATTTTACATGTGATTTAAGATTATTTGAAAAACAGGGCCTAGCCAGTAATGTCTAGTATTGTTATTGTGTGCCTTCAAGTTATTTCTGACTTGAAAACCTATTCTTGGCAAGATTTATTTAAAGGGGGTTTACCATTGTCTTCTTCTGAGGCTGAGAGATTGGCTTTCCATGGCTGAGCGAGGATTGAAACCCTGGTCTTCTGGAGCCCCAGTCCAGCACTTCTCTATATTCATTCAACGACAAGTACCTTCCATGTTAATGGAAGTGGTGAATCGTCTTAATATTCTAGTATTTAAGTAGAAGTGGTGGATCCTAACTCATATAGTTAGCAATCTGGATAGCTTCCATATAGTTTGGCCAAAAATCCAAGGTGAATTTAACTCTGCTATTATGAGAGCCACCCATTGCCACTGGACTTAACTAGCATTTCTATGTTGTACCAAGAAGCTGGCTTCATCTTTCAGGAGCCCTTGGGGTTAACTATAATGGTTATCTGAGAGTTATTTGCAGTGATTTTATAAGCTTCAGGGTGGGTTTGCACATCCACATTCATTTTTCTGTGTGTCATAACTCAGTAGTTTGCACTGAACTGAAAAAAAACATTGATGTTTGATGTGGTCTGAAATCTCTGACTTTGATCTTTGAGGGCCATTTCTTACTGCTTTATACACATCCAAGTAATTGCTTGATGGCTGTCATCAGGTGATGAATATGCATGGGTGAATTCAAATGCATGTCAGGGTATAGCTTGCTTTGTTTTGGATGATGCTGTACCAATCCCTTCCATGATATCACCTAACTAACATGTTTACCTAAAAAAATGCTGGGCAGTATGTCATAACCAAATACATTCTGCTTAAATGTCTTATCATTTCAAAATGAAATCTGCAAGACCAGCAATCAACAAATAGGATTTTTTTTTTGGAGGGGGGGAGTTTAAAACACAGCCACAGGTGAAATTAAATAAAATGTGGATAATAACCGGCAATACTGAAGACTATATGTAATGTTTTCAAAAGGTCAGTCAGTCAGTCAAGGTTTAATGGAATGAATCAGTCTTTTAAAAGTTGAAATGCCATCAAGAATGGGGGAGGGAGAATTCCTTGTATCAAGGAGTTCCCCAGCCTGGGGAACCAAATGAGAAAATATAATTTTACACATCCCCATCTAACCATAAAGTGTGGATCTTTGTAGCTCAACTATACTGGTGTATAAAATTGTATTAGAGAATATATCCTTGTTTCCACAACAAGCCATTTTTTAAAAATCCAATTATCACAGGGACAGAAAGTGAAGTGAAATCTTCTGAACAGAGGCACAGAGGGCAAAACAAATACCACAGGGATGTTAAGTAGAGGTAAAGGTTTTCCCTTGAGATTAAGTCTAGCTGTATCCAACTCTGGGGGAAGGTGCTCATCTCCAGTTCTAAGCTGAAGAGCCGGCATTGTCCCTAGATGCCTCCAAGGTCATGTGGCTGGCATTACTGCATGGAGCACAGTACCTATTGATCTATTCACATTTGCATGTTTTCAAACTGCTAGGTTGGTAGAAACTGGGGCTAACTGTGGGAGCTCACCCTGTTGAAGAGTTAATAGGGGTGTTAACCCTTCCCTATGTTATCCAAAGCTGATATATATAGCTAGAGTGACACTTAAAATGTACCTGTTCCGACTTACATACACAATCAGCATAAGAACAAACCTGGCTGTTCCAATGTGCCTTTTCAGACTAGGAACCCCAGTACCAAATCCCAGAAGCACTTTAGTTAGAACCAAGATCACCACACACCGCACTTATATTATAATCCCATATCCCTCCGACACATCAGCACTTTTAATCCTGTACCCCTACTCTGGCCGGCTCAGTTTTAATAATGTCTTGTTGTACTGCTATTGTTATTGTTTTTGCTTAACTGTTTTATTTGCTAGGTACTGTATTGTTGTATTGTGTGGGCTTCGGCCTGTTGTAAGCCGCATTGAATCCCTTGGGAGATGCTAGCGGGGTACAAATAAAGTTATAATAATAATAATAATAATAATAATAATAATAATAATAATAATATAGAACCTATCTGTTCATGACTTGGGAGCTGCCTGTACTCTATGCATTATTAAATTGTAATGAACTCAATAGGACTGAAATTTCGGTTGCACTATTTCTTAGTCCTAAGCTGACAATGGTTTTAATCACACCATATGAAGATGGGAATTAGAATCAACATCTGGCTTTCATGTGAGCTTGGAAAAGTTACTTTTGTTGGAATACTAGAATATCTTGGCCTCTCCAACCAGCCTGTCTTCTGCTGTGCTGGTTTGTAAGTACTGGGGCTTGCAGTCTTTAAAAAAGCAACTTTTCTAGTTTTGGGATATGATTATCTTTTGGTTAAGGGTGAACAGAAAATGATACAAGGATACCTGGGGAGACAATTACCTGGTCTAAAATTGAAACAGAACAAAAGTCTGCTATCAGTAGAAAAATACCTGTAGCCCTTCTTTTATTTCTTTTTCCAGGATGGGAGCATTTACATTACATTCAAAAACTGGGAAGCCCATGCCATCTGTCTCCAATGGGTGAGTCCTGCTGAGACCTCTCACTTATGCTTGAAGTCACTCTGAAATGTTCTTAACAGTTGATTAGCAGAGAAGTGTGTATTAAGGAATCAAGAACCACAGGGAAGTGGGAGGAAGAAGACTACTAATTCTAGCACCAACTTGGCACATTGCACCCACTGCAAAATTTAAATCTAGCTTGTAGGAGGAACATAAGTTTTTCTAGCCAAATGGTGGCACATCCCTTTGAAAAAAAACTGTTCAAATATGTCATTTTGAGGCTGACACTGATACGGAGAGTGAACTAGAGTAGTTCTTTTATTCTTTTGATGGAAGTCTGCATTTCAGCTTTGTGAGGCAGTTCACATACAACAAAATGTTGCCATGAGTCTCCATCTGTGGTTTCACAGCCATCACATCTTTGAAGTTTCACTAAGTTTATACACAGAAAGATCAGCCCATTTCTTTTAGCTCTTCTCCATCATTTCAGTGTTCAGAAAATACAATGAATCTTATTTATTGTCATATTAATTGTTGTTGGGTTTCATATAACCTCAGGGAGAAAATGAGGCATTCAAGTCCTACTATTCCTGTGTTGCTCCCAAGATGGCAAACAAGTCAAGGCACCTGCCAACATATTTTTTTTTCTCCTTTGTAGATAGATAACAATCCTAAATCATGGGCTCAGAGATAACCTTGTGCCTTAGTCTGAGATGGGTTTTGTAAATCAGGAGTGGGAATCATGAAGCCCTCCTGATGTTGTGGGACTAAAACTACCAAAATTCCTCTCCATAATAATAGGATAAATTGTTATGTTGTTGACATATACAGACACACCTGTGTGTGTAGTTTTCCTGAACTTGGAGTAGGAAGTATTCAATGCTTTCTTCTGCAAGGTCTCTGCTCTGGCATGCAGTAGCTGGTTCCTCCCTATCCTTTATTCACACTGGATGTATGTCTGTGCTGATAATGGCCACTGCTGTGTGTTTGGGGGGGGGGCAGACGATGGTCATTCCTCCTTCTGTGTACAGGAGTGGCACAAAGGAGTCAAAGCACACAAACATACAGCTGATCAAATGCCCAGGAGACAAAGCTGCAAGGGGATGCAGGGATTATAGTGTGGGCAGTGGCCTTCCCCCACCAGGAACCCACAAGAAAGGACAAATACAATGGCTTGGAATAACCAGAGGCCACAATTTGCTTATTGGTTACAATGAAAAACAGGGTTGGCAGCCATGCATGGCTCCTGGATCAAGAATCGGACAGTCCAATGCTGACCGATGGCGTTTCACAACAGTAGGGGTCCCTGGCAGTGAGCCGACTGGTTCCAACTTGGGGCACCAGTACTGCTGCATCCCTATGCGACCAGGACACTCCCCCTGTACCATTGAAGCGGGGAGGTATGCAAACCGGATCCAGGTCCCATGCCACACACCCACAAGTTGTAATGAGAGAATATGCTAAGCAATAGAACAATAACTACATACAATGATACAATTTCAAGGTGGGATGGAGGGGACAGTTGAAAGGCCACTGACCCTCAGCACTGGTCTGCCCCCACTTTGTCCACACCAGCGGAATGAAGTGGGGCCTATGCGCAGTGAATCAGGGTGCAGGCTGGAACAAGCACCTAATTGGTTGCCTAGCCATGCATGCCAAAATGCACAGGGCGCAGGGGCTCCTGGGAAGGAGAACCCTCAATGAGAGGATGGCAGGTGGGGTGCACTATCCGCTGTGACATCCCTGTCTGGTAAGTCGGGCAGGGCATGTCTAGTTTGAAGTTGTTTTCTTCCTGAATGTGTTTGTGTCTTTTTTTGTTGTTGTTTCTGCTTTTGCAACCCAGTCTGCCTTATGAAAGCTAGACCTTTCCTTAAGCTGCTAGAGAACTGAAATTCTAATTAAGGTAGTCCACTTGATGTAGTGTGTGGATTTTCGTAATTTATATTTCTGGCCTGGAAAAGGTCATGTCAGTGGCCTGCCCTCTTGATCCTAATTACAAACCCCATAGAATAAATAGGCTTGACATATAGCTTGAGGGCTGAATTCAGTTTGACATCTCATTACTTTGCAGGGCTCCCCTGTGGTGGTGAGATTGAACAAACAGAATGATGGTTAATCACAAAGCTGACTAAAAATTTCTAACTAAAAATGCGGATCATAAAAAGAGAGAAAAGAAAAACAAAAATTGAAATAAATCTCCCTTTTGTTTGTTTTCCAGGGAGAAATATGGCTGATTATCCAAACTCACTTTTTACACTGTAATATATTTAAAATACTTCCATCTGTCATGCTGCAGCCAAATTTCCACAGAGGCTTACAGGACAATAAGAACATTAATACACCCACACCTACTGATATAACAATAAATAGAAAACAACCACTATCAAATATATAAAGCAACAGAAAAGAGCAGAATCACTAGCCCCAGTTTTCTAGGGGCTAAGCCTGTGAATGTTATGCCAAAAGACCTCTGCTTAGATCTCAAGTCTGAAAAAATGGAAGACTGTTATAGAAGTCAGAATGTTGGTTTTGGATGTGGAACATAGTAGATTTCCTCTCTATGGTGACCCATGATGGGATATGATGAAGAAGTTATTAGTAGCACCTAGTAGATTACATGTTAGGGGGATGGTGAATCTGCTCCAATTTTGGTCCAGATAAGGAGCAATCCAGGGTGGCGAACCTGTTTTGTGAGTGGATTGTGAGAGTAGATTTACCACCCCCCTGACATGGAAACTATGGTCACCACTAAGGCCATTGAGAAGTTTCTTTTTAATTTATTTCTGACAAATGGGAAAGTAAACAGTTATAATAAGACGCCATAACCGCGTAACACATATCTGTGGTTTCACTTATTTCTCCCTGGTGGAAAATCATCTCTTTGATTTTGCTAGGTCATTCTATAGCAAACATGGGTAAACTTCAGTCCTCCAGGTGTTTTGGACTTCAACTCCCAAAATTCCTAACAGCCGGTAGGCATGAAGTTTGCCCATGCCTGTTCTATAGTATACTTCCCACAGAAGTCAGCATAAGAGTTTCTTGAGGAATCCCTGGTTGCTCCAACTCAATTCTATGGTATGCCTGGACTGGAAATACAATAATTTAATGACATTCAGTTGTATCCATGGTTTCAGGTTACTGCAGTCTGGCTGGAAACCAACCACTATCAAAAAGATAAAATCTAATGTCCCTTGTGGATATAAGATCTTATTGGATTATAAAAAATAGTTTTGAGTATTTGATACTATGGAACCTATGGAACTACTTGAAAATAACTTTCAAGACTGTATCAGACAGTCTGAAACCTGACATAGATTCATCATTCCCCCAATGTCGAAGCCAACTGACTTGTGTGACACAATGAGTATACACAAATACACATTAGGACTGGACTGAATAATGCCTCCCAAGCTATCTTTTTCCCTGTCTCGTTTCCATTGGTTGAAAACCTTTTCTTTCTTCTTGCAGAGGGATTCCAGGGAAGAAGTGTGGCACCATAGTTCTGTCTGCTGAGGAACTGGGAAACTGCAGAGTGAGTTATTTATCTTTTCTTTGGGCTTCTGGTCAGGGCATTGCTCTCAAGAAGAGCCAAGAAAACTCCACTCTGTAGGAATCTTGAGACCAAAAGGCCAAAGTGCTTTAGGAGCATCACACAGCAGCAGGATCCTGCCAAACATGCTCTTTGTATGCTTTGATGACACATCCAGTCATCTCTAGTCAGCCTGGACAGTGAAAAGGAATTATGGGACCTGAGGTCCAAAATACCTGGAGAGAACTGCATTAGAAAAAGCATTTCAGGCTGTTGTCCTCATAGATTAGTATCTACATTAGGAGCTAGCAGAGCTTGACTAAAGACTCCTGGGAGGCCTTGACTTTGCATTAACCCGAGCCATAGGCTAAGCACATGCTAAAGCATCTTCCATCCAGTTGCTGTTTCATATCAATGCTCCTAGAATATATGCTGGCTGCAAACCTGGCATTTTTAGCAGCACAATAAAGACCTTAATTCTTTTTTTGTAAGAAGAAATGTGAAAGTCTGCCTGTCTCTTTACTGCCCCTCTAGGTCCCAATAGGTCCCACCTGTATTCTCATCTCATCTTATTACCTATTGGGTCATGAGAAGGTTTTATCCCCCTTATAAGAGAATTCATACCTATTTTTCATGTACCAATTTTATATTGTTTTTTCTCTGATTAAAGGACATTTGCTCATATTATTCAATTATTGCATTTTTAGTCTTTTGCATTTTAAAAGGTATGCAGAGTTTGTGTTTATTTATACCCTCCAGAGAATACCAAAAGTCTTCAGAATGTGTGGCTTTCAGATACAAGCGAGCATGAAAAGGGTTATTTCATACTTGCTGTGGTTTTTGGTTTGAATATTTTTTTTGGATTTTAAAAGAATTGTTTATGATACTAATGATATGTAATTTTGTTTTAATATTTGTATATTTTAAATTGTATTGAAGTGCTTTTAATGTGAGCCACTTGGAGTCTCCTTGTGGAGAGAAAAAATGGGATATAAATAAACATAATAATAGTAATAATACTCTCATCAAGAATGTCAAACCCAAAAGAATTCTTAACCATCCCTATTGCTGGCATGATGTGCAGACTAGTGTGTGGAGTAAGCACACTGAAATAAAGCAGGAGATATGTGGAACACTCAAAGTCCGTGAGTGTGAAAAAGTGTCCATGGTCAGCATCACATTTAAACTGAAACTTACTGGACATGACAGGATGGGACAGTATGTTGTAGCAATGGGATATATTGGTCTGTTGGGCATCAGCAGCAAAATTCTAATGCAGAGAAACAAGCTCTGAAGCTCCAGGGAGCCATAAGGCTGAAATGAGAGTCAATTCCCTTCATCTCTTTATTGCTCTGGGGAGAGGATCCTCCGACATAAGCTTTGAATTTACAACAGTTGGTGGCCAAGTGTTGCCTGTAACAGCTCTTGGAGTCAGTATTGAGATTACATCTGTCACTGGTGAAAGTGTGGTCTCAGCTGGAAGTTAAGAGTTCAGCTTCATTCTAAAGGATAAACAAGGCCAACCACCAAGAACTGAAGAATGTGTGAAAAGGCTGTGCAGAGAGATGTGTCTGATACCCAGGCTACTGGGAATGTGGTATGTGCAGAGAGGGAGCACAAATATCACACTGTACTTAGAGCTGTGTGGATGAATTATGGCAGTGCCACACATTTTTCCTCACAAATATCTATAATTCCCTCTCTCAGCCCTTTTTGAGAGGTGATCTTGGAGTAGTTACTTTTAGTCTTGACTTTCTCACAGGATTATTGTGAGCATAAAATACACAGCATCTTTGTATGTTTGGGTGCTTTTTCATGTGAATCTCCAAAGTGAACAAGATAAGCAATTAATCGGTGTGGATCACATCCAGATCCTGATGCAGCTTTGGCATAGTTTTGCAGTCTTCAGCTACCATATTGTAAAGCTGAACATTATTCAAAACAGAGGATTCTCCTCTTTCCAGCCCTGCAAAGATGCCATTTGACATCTTTCTTTACTTTACTACATGTCTTTTATTACATGTTGCATTCGACTGGACAACCTCAATGACCACACTGTATCCCTTCAAAGGTTACATCCTTCCCCTGCTCCCACCAGAGCAACTGACTCTGCTAAAGCCATCAATGAAATATAGCAGCAATTATAGCATTTCTACAATACAGGAAGATGCCTAGAGCATCCTCCAAAACTCTTGAGCCTCGTGAGATCAGGGGAACAGGATTTGATTGTTGGAAGGAAAGGGAACAGAGTGTTTGGAATATATGGTTTCTTTGCGTGGGACATATTTTGGTGATATATTTGCATTAGTGACCAGTTCACTAAGAGGTGAGGATGGAGACCCACACACACACAAAAAGGAGGGTAGACTACATATAGCCTAAGGGCAGTGCATTGGTCAGAGCTCAAGAAATTAGTTAGTTCTAACTGGTAGCTTCTTTGTCACTGGATTTGTGAATTCACTCCTGGTTTTAATCAGAATTTAAAAGAAGCTATCCAAGGTGCTGAAATGTTTAATTATATGATTCAGCACTCTGTATAGTTCTTTCAACATTCAGTATAAAACCTAGAAGAGATTCATTGACCCAGTGACATAGAAGCTCTTAGCTGCTGCGGCCATCTTGACTCAAGTATTCATAGCATTATAGTTTCCAAAAATGCCCCCCCCCCCAAACTGCTGTAAGTCCTTCCTCTCATACAGCTTCTTCAGCATAAGCAGCTTGAAGAGAGTTCTCCAACTCATTTTTTCCTGCAAAGGGTAACTTCCATGCATGACGCATGAAGCTCTTCTGAGCTGTCTCCGCCACGAACCTGAGTTGTGAAGGAGAAAAAGGGAAACTCCATGCTACGCAACTGGCAAGCTTGTGCCTGCTTGAACTCTCTCGTCAAGTATCAGTTGCTCACTACAGGTTCAGAATCTCTCCACTTGCAGAGACCAGCTTGCTGCTGACACCAAACAGAACAAAACAGCACAGTTGGTGTATATCTTTCAGGAAAAACACAGGCTTGTCTAGACAACCAGCAAAGGCAGACTCCTTCATTTTCTTTCTCTCCCACATACAGAAAAGAACACAAACAGTATCACTGTAATTTTTCTCACCTCCTCTCACCCACATTTTTGATGTCTGCAAGAGGAGGGAGAAGCTCCTAATTCACTCCTACACAGAGCCATACAATCTTTTCCTCACTCATGCACACTCATTTTGACATCCCACAGCTTTAAACTGCATACAGCTCAACCCTTTCTGAGGTTCAGGTCTTTGTAGGCGTACAAACACTTGTACAAATGAGTACATGCCCCCAATAGTTTCAAGTTACACACCACAAACACACACTATAATTATTTATAACATTCATACTCTCTATTAGATTACCAGCTTTATTAGACCATGCTTCCAGCACAAAATACTTTGTCAAAAGGCAAAGGGGGCTGGCATCCTGAAAGCAAGCAAAGCTTTTTGTGCCAGAGGATGGAAATGAGCTAATGATATATTACTTTGCTTTCTGATCAACTGGACTTCCTCTGTGTTCTCTATAATGCTTTTTGGGATGCACATATGCACCCACAATACATTGCCTCAAATATTTTGTGTACACATTCTCCATTTATAATGTAAACACCATTTTGACTCACTGGACACCCCTTGTCTGCATACTGCTTCTGACGCTAATGTCTGCTCAAAATTTCAGGGGTGTGCTTGAATGCATTCAAAGCAGCCCACCATCTGTTGTGCTATAAAGGGAATTTAACACCCATTTCAATCTGAAGGAACTGAGACACAAACAATTAGCTCCACATGAGCAGTTTCACAGCCTGTGCTAGGAGTTGGCCTAACTCTCCCTGGAAAAGGGCAGTCTGCGATTATCTGTCCGTTTTCCACCCAGCACCATTTTTTGTTGGTAATGGCTCCCTGACTTCTCACTCTCTCTGAGGGATTCATGCTTGGCTGGGCCAGCTGGCAGCATGAGGTTTGCATTGGCATGCGGAAAGGGACAGAATATTGTTGGGCTATGCCCAAGGTCTGCCCAAGCATTAAACATAGTGAGGCAGTTCCTTTGGGAGACAGATGCTTCAGGCAGCTCCCTGTCTGTTGGATTCCTCTCTGTTGGAGCACATAGCTATACGTTTGAAGAATGAATCTGTAATTCATCAGGTGGCATGGAGAAATACTATCCTCTACAATGTATCCTCTCAATTTGTTATAGAAAGATTCTGTAAATAGGATAAAGCAGAGCAGGATGATGTCTTTGTCTCAGACAGGAAAACGTTTTGGGCCAGCTCTGGACACACTCTTTCTGAATGATTCTTGTCTCCTGTTGAATCATGCAAATCCAGATAAAATTAGATTTTTGAAATATAATTATAGCATTTATATCCTACCCACAACTCAGTAACTAGAAAAATTCTCAAAATGACTTACATTTAAATGTTGTAACATTTTAAAAGAGTTCCTGCCCTCAGATATTAATCCTAAAATGACTTAACAATAAAAGAAAGTGGCTAGAGAAGGGAAAGAAAAAGTATTATCACCCCCACCCCCCACCCCCCAAAAAAACTTAAGAGAAGTATAAACTCTGCACTCTGCATGTTTGCTGTGGTTCCCATCTTGAAAATATTTAAATATCTTCAGGAAGTAGATTCACATGATAGAAGAGTGCTGGTTGTATTCCAAGTAGACTGGAACGTACTTAGTCCTAATCTTTTTTTATACTGGTTTTAAACCACTTCATTGGGTGTGTTGCAATAGCATATTCCCAGATTAGTTTAGTGTTTACACCTTATTTTATTTTTCTGGTTATTTAATATTTAATGTTTATTTTACTTAAGTGATATTGTCTTTACTGTTCTAATGTAGCACAAATCCTATGTAAAATCATACTACGTATTTTTGACATTAATATTGAAATCTGAAATATATGCAGAAAGTCTCAAGTTAGGTTCTTGGGTAAATTTCCCAGTAAAAATTCCTTTTTTGAACTTAATGGTAGAAAGTCTCTTCCAGTC